GGCCTCTACTCGTTTGAGCTAGCTGATGGCAAGCATCAGGTTAAGGGCCAGACGAGTGCTAGTTTAGCTGCTACCTCAGAGGCGTTTGACTTGTGGCACAGACGCTTGGTGCATCATTCTTTTCTTACTTTGAAAGCAGTTTGTAATAGACTGCATGTAAATATTTCGAATGATGCAAATAAAATTTGTTCAGCGTGCGGTGTTGGGAAAAAACATAAACTGCCTTTTGAACATTCAAAGATTGTCTATTTTGAACCATTCCAACTTGTGTTTTCTGATAGCATCTACTCCCTCAAATGGGTTTTGGTATTGCATTGCCTTTTTTGATACGTGTACTCGTCACTCTTGGTTGTACTTGCTAAAGGACAAGTCTCAGCTTATAACTGCGTTTCAGCTGTTTAAAAGTATGGTTGCTACACAGTTTAATCTAGTTGTTAAAGCCATTCAAAGCGATTAGGGTGATGAGTATAAACCACTAACCACTCTTCTGGCTAAAGAAGAAATTGCTCATCGAGTAACATGCCCACATACCTCTGAGCAAAATGGGGTTGTGGAGCGAAAACATCGACATTTGATTGAGCTGGCTCTTGTTCTACTAGATCAGCTTGTTTTGCCTCTGAAATTATGGTCCTATGCTATAACCACATCTGTATATCTCATTAATAGACTCACTACACGTGTGTTACAAGGTGTTTCACCTTTTGAAAAGTTGTTTCACAAGCAACCTGATTATAACTTCATGAGTTGTTTGGGTGCAGGTGTTTTCCACATCTGCGAATATTTCAAAAAAAACAAGTTCATGTTTCGATCCCAAGAATGTACCTTCCTAGGGTACAACCCTCAGCACAAGGGCTATCAATGTATGGCAGCATATGAACGAGTTTACATATCTCGCCATGTAAAATTTGATGAACTAATGTTTCCTTTTGCAGAGCTGCAGTCTTCTCGTGGTTCGACTAGAAAGCAATCGTCTGCGTTGGATATAGTTGTGCAACCATAAAACTTATGTATGCCTAGGGGTTCTTCCTGTGTGCATATTCCTCATGTGGTTACACCAACCTCTAGTGCCTCTCAAATTCCCTCTGTGCATGTTGGTTCAAACCTGTCATCTGCTGATAACCAATGCGCCTCTCCATCGCAAGCATCTGTGTGTCCTCCCACAACTTTTATACATGATGCAAAAGCGTGCCATGACTCTCAGGTACCTGAACAGTCAGTAGCTGAGCCGATTTTTGTGTCATGATTGAATGCAGCAACCAATATTCATCCGATGTGCACACGTAGCAAGGCCGTTATCTTCAAGCCCAGAGCTTTCATCAGCAACCTTGATGAAGTAAATCCAGAAACTGTATATGAGGCATTAAAGTCTGAAAAATTAACTACAACAGTCCATGATGAGCTTAATGCTCTTCAGTAAAATGGAACTTGGACCCTGGTCCAACTTCCAGAAGGAATGTCTGCTGTAAGGTGTAAATGGATCTTCAAAATAAAAAATAATGTTGATGGCACTGTGCAAAGACACAAAGCGCGTTTGGTTGCTAAAAGGTATTCACAAGTACCAGGGCAAGTCTTTCAAGAAATTTTTAGTCCCGTGGTTCGGTTCTCTACAATCAATATTATCTTGTCCTTGGCAGTTTTGAAGAAATGGCCACTTCAACAAATTGATGCCAACAATGCGTTCCTCAATGGTAGGATGACTGAATACGTGTTTATGCAGCAGCAGCCTGGGTTTGAGGTATGTGATCCTGCTGGCACACTTCTTGTTTGTAAGCTACAAAAGGCGCCCTATGGCCTACGATAAGCGCTACGTAACTGGCACAACAAGCTTTGAGATAGCTTGCTTGCACTGGAATTTCGAGGGTCCAAAGCTGATAGTTCTTTGTTTGTTACCAATCAGGCTGGCAGTCGCACGTTTGCTCTTGTTTACGTTGACGATATCATATTAACAGGTGATTATTTGTGAACTCAACAAGCAATTTTCACTCAAGGACCTTGGTGACTTGTCTTATTTTATGGGTATTGAGGTCAAGCGTAGTGCTAACTCTATTATTTTGAGTCAAAAGAAGTTTGTGCTAGATTTATTGGCAAAAGCGAAGTTGACTCGTGTTAATCTGACTGCCTTGCCTATGGTTGTAGCTCACAAACTGTCTATGGATGAAAGCAACCCGTTAGTTGATGCCTATGATTTTCGTAGCATTATTGGATCTTTACTTATATATGTCATACTCGACCTGATGTGGCTCTCAGTGTGAGCAAGGTCGCTCAATACATGCAAGCCCCTCACGGATCTCATCTTATAGCAGTTAAAAGGATTTTTCAATACTTAGCAGGCACAATGGACTATGAGTTGTTGTTCTCTCCTGCGAGCTCTAATCTGTCTATCACTGCTTTTATAGATGCAAATTGGGGAGGTGATGTCGATAACATACAGTCGATATCTAGTCATTGTGTTTTTGTTGGTAACTGTTTGGTGTCCTGGTTGTTAATGAGACAAAAGACAGTTTCTCGTTCAACCATGGAGGCAGAGTACAAGAGCCTTGCTGATGTTGCTGCAGAGGTGACTTGGGTTAATGTTGTTCTTGCTGACTTGGTTAAAGCCTCAGATACAATACCAACTATTTGGTGTGATAATTCAGGTGATATTGCAATGAGTGCTAACCCGATTTAATATGCACAGTCCAAGCATGTTGACCTCGATGTACATTTTGTGCGAGAAAATGTAGTGGCCAAGCATCTACAGGTTCAATATGTGCCAGCTTCACATCAGATTGCATATGGGTTTGCCAAGCCATTAGCTAGAGGTTCTTTTGAATATTTTCGTGATCGGGTTAAGGTTTGTTCAGCTGAAAATAAGGAAAAAGTAGGAGGAATATTGAATATAGGTGGTGCTTAGGAGTAATGTGTGTGTCAAGATTGCAGGCTGAGGTTGGTTAGCAGATTGGCTAGCAGCTGTTGTGATCTGTTGCAACAATGGTTAAGTTGTTAGGATGGTTAGTTGTTAAAGAATCAATGCATGCAAGCTGAGCATGGTGTATATAAAGCAAGAAGTGCTTCCTTGTAAACACATGATTGTAATCAATGATATAATTGCATTTTACAGTTTTGAGCAGTATTCTAGTACATATATTTTGAGCCCATTCAATCTTTCAATAATCCTCGCTTCCTCTATCCTGTTCTCGACTCTTACAAATGCGAATTTAGTACTTGCACGACTCCGTTTCCTAGCAATGAAAGCACTATGTACCTCTACTTGTCTTCCTACAACCTGCCATAATCCTTTCCAATGTATTGCCTCGGGTGGATTGTCCCCGAACAAAGTGACGGTACTCTTCCAATGCATCTTGTTTAGGATTCCACTTGTTGCTACTGCTTATATCCTTTTTCCCTGGTGGATTAGAGATGAGTCCCTTTCATTTTCTAATTGTCATCACACAAAACTCTCAAATCTCATTCCATCATTCAATCATTGTTTTCGTAGCCAACACCGATTGGTTTGTCACCGTCAGTAAATATACTTCGTCATTTGAATCAAACCGATGAATTATGTTGTCTGAATCTCCAGTCGAAAGATGATTTTTGAATTTAAGAATGTATGAATTTAGAGATCGATTTTTTTGGTAAAGTATAAATTAAGACTTTTTATAAATTAAGAATTATAATATTTTTATTTCAAAGAAATAAAATGTATAATAAATTTAATATCTTATATCAAATAATTATTAAATTATAATTTTTAATGAATATTGATGATTCAACCTTAAAATGAAAACATAATGAAACGTTAGATAACTACTTTCATTGCAATAAACTTAATATTATACTTAGGGTTTAAAATAGCGGTCGAATAGCGGTGTTGCAGCCGTTATACTACGGTCGTGGTGGTGTCCGAAATCGCTATCGCGGAAAATAACGGTGTGAAGCAGGATCACACCAATAGCGACGAATCACGGTCGTAATTTAACGGATCGTGGCCAATCACGGCAATAGCGGACCGTTATTCCGTTATTTTAATTTTTTTTAAAAGGTTTTTTATTAAAAAAAACCAGCTCTTCGAAAAAAAATTACGATCGCGATATCCACAATGACCATAATAATATTCATTATATCTACAACCGTAATAAACGCGACGCGACCGATAACGTAACCACAAACGTTATTTAAGGGTATGATCCGTACAGAGACAAACAGCTGAAGAAAGAAAGGAAGGGTACAAAAACAAAGGTAGCACAATGGAGAAACCGTAATTGGGTCCACAACCGTGAATTAATCTTTAAATAAAAATTAATTTATCTTAACTTTGTTAGTATTACTGTATTAAAGAAAAAGATCCCGCCTTCGCACGTGCGATGATATAGTGGGGTCCATCACTGGTCACGTTCACCATTAGCCTTCAGCGGTAATTATATGACGCGGGGTGCCTGGACCGTAGTGATAGGCTTACGTGGAACAACTGCATGGAGCTGAAACGTGGCAGATATGACGCATGTCATTTACTCAGATTAAAATCACAGCCACATCGTTTCTTGTTAATAAAAATCCCACGTTTTGACAGACCGAAAAGGTAACATGGAAATTCTCTTATTACCCCTACTGGGCCACTTTTTAACCGAGACAAGCACGGGGTCAAGAAAAAAAAATCCCCTAGAAGGGGGAAGGATGTAAATAATAGCAAAATCTAATCCAATGACAAAAGCTGACACCCCTTGGTTTGGTAATTTGTGTACAATAAATAGCAATTTGATTCCCTTTCCTTTTTCATTATAAACAAACGAAGTCTGCCCTCGACTTTCTCTCAAAACCAGTCGCCACCTATATTGTGTTTATCTTTTATTTGTTTTGCATGCTCATCTCTTCCCCCACACCCCCCAAAAAAAACCTTAGTTTCTCGTGCTTCAGAGCTAAAGGCTCTTTCTTTCTCCTCTCCACCCCTTTTCCCCTATATATTATTCCCAAAGCGATATACGCAGAAGCAAAAGAATAAATATAGCCTACCGTTTTAGCTTTTTTTTATCAATGGCGGTTGAAGCTCCGCATATGAACCCTTTCCCTCCTCAGTTAATCACCAACAGGTTCTTCTTCTTATTATTATAAATGGGTTTAATTTGTTTTCAAGCTCCTTTCTTTGGCTTTCATTTTTTTTACATGAAGTTTTGTTTTTGTTTGTAGCAGAGGTTTTCTGAAAACAAATCAAGGGAGTGGCAATATATGCGATACCCAGATGGATGCTTGTGTTCCTTTGGTTGGTTCGATGCAACAAGATTCACAGCTTTTCCCATTGTATCAGCCCTTTGTTTGTGATCCGATTTCAGCCAAAACTTCAATCAACAAAGCTGACAGAGGCCTTACATATAACATGAATATCCCAGTCTCAGTACCAAGAAAAAGGCCCAGAGATTCATTCCTCAATGGCCTTGATTCATATCCCGTCTGTCAAAAGACTAAACTTTCTGGATTTTCCTCTGTTATGAACGATGATGTTCTCTCCCAGATCCAACTGCAACAACAAGAAATCGAGCGTTTCATTGTTGAACACGTAAGTTTCTTTAAAAAAGCAGATTTTCTCAATACACCTGTTTCAATGAATGCGAAAGAAAACCTTTCTCTGTTTCCTTTGATGCTCAGTTAACAAGGCAGTTTACTGATATTAACATCTTTTGCATTTATTACAGACTGAAAAAGTGAGGTTTGAACTTGAAGAAAGAAGAAAAAACCAATGGAGAATGTTGATTACAGCCATCCAAGAAGGGGTAATGAAGAAACTGATGGAGAAAGAAGAAGAGATGCAAAGAATGGGGAAACTAAACTGGATTCTTCAAGAAAGGGTTAAAAGCCTGTACGTGGAGAACCAACTGTGGAGAGACCTGGCACAAACAAACGAAGCCACTGCCAAGTCCCTGCGCACCAATTTAGAACAAGTTCTGGTGCACGTCAGCGAGGAACGCCACGTGAGCGGTGGAGCAGCTGCTGCGTTGGCCGACGATGCGGAGTCTAGCTGTGGAAGCAGCGATGAAGGGTGGCGCAAGGTGGTACCACCGCAACCACATGTGAGTGGTGGTGGTGGTGCGGCAGTGGGGAACAATAATATGAAGTGTAGGAAGTGCGGGGAGATGGAGTCAAGTGTGCAGGTGCTGTTGCTGCCATGCAGGCATCTTTGTCTCTGTACAGCTTGTGGGTCCACTCCGGTAGGCACTTGCCCTGTTTGTGATTCTATTACCAATGCCAGTGTTCATGTTAACCTGTCATGAAACATTTTTTTTCCTTCTTTGTTAGATTTAGTGAAAAAAAATTGAAAATGGAACTGCATATATCTTTTCTAGAAATGGTTCATTGAAAAAAAAAGGTTTCAGTATTAGCATCTGTTTCATCTCATTCTTTATTTTTTTGGGGTTAATTATGACTGTTAATGTTTTTTATTTTTATTTTTATTTTTAAATTAATCACGGGTATACATAAATATTGACGTACTAATCCATCTGCAATCAAAAGGATAAGGGCATATGGGCTGACATGAGTGGGGGGAATCTTGACCACCAAACTTAAAGATGGCAGAGTTAAGCATTATTCTTCATTTAAGAGTAGGCATTAGACATCTTTTGATTTATAGGGTCTAGCTTTCTGAATTATTAGCTCCATTCATTCACTCATTTAACCTTTTACCTATTATTTGAAACTCAAAGAATCTCAAATGGAGGTGCCCGCTCCCAATTAATTTCTAGCCTCCCTTTTTGCAAGGGTGGGTAACTCCACTATTTTTGTTAACTTGCAATCTTTACCCCCTCTATATAAAAATTATTATACAATTAAAAATATCTGATTACATATATATATTTTACTATACTAATAACCATATAAATTAAATTAAATTTTAGTAAACAATTCAATTATGTTTTTAAAATAAACAATCTTTTTTCTAATGACATTTTAAAATCAAATTAAATTTTCTTATTCTTTTTAATATAACATCATTTAATATGGTGAACACATGCATCAAATATTTGCCATTAAAATCTCTTGAATAGTCACGTTATGCTAGATTTCTTCCAAATGTCCATACTTTCAACTACACTTTCCGCTACCATGACACAAGGCTGTAGCCAAATGGAGTTTGAAACATATAGACAGAAAATTGGATTTAGTTAAACAATAGATATTTTAGTAAGATACGAGATATATTATAAAATATGATGATGATTTTAAAATATAAAACTTCGTTCAAGAAAACTGAATTAAACCAAAAAAAAATATTATGGCCAATCCATATATTATTAGTAATGAAAATTTGGAATATAAGAAATTGATAAATATTGGATGGGAAATTTTCAAAGACCCGCTAACCAAGTTGATAAGGCAACAACCAAGGATATTTAGGCAAGCAAGTGCTAGTTGCTGATTCCTTTCCCATTGATTAAACCAACTCTCCTTTGAGTGATACTATTTAAACACTATCCAACCTTGGCTTCGGTCTATGACAGATTTTGTTTCTTAGCTTTATGATTATCTTCATTATTAGACTAAATTACATTTTTTTGTTTATTTTAAAGCATTCATATTTTTATGCAATGTTTATATCAATTTTTACTTTGTGTTGTATTTTAATATTTGTTTATTATATGCGTGGTTTTTTAATTATAAGATACATATAAACTGAAAATTAAAATGTGTAGTCATGATATAGAGTTGGATCATGAATACTATGTTATTGCTTAAACTACTTGATAAAGGGGTTGAATATTATACACGCAATCACTCCTGGTTATCTAATAAGAAAATGAGTTTTTTAAATTATAATTTGATGCTTCAATTTTAAAACAGTGTTGTTGAGATAGTTGAGTCATCAAAATAAACATGAATTGAGTAACCATTCATGTCTTGTTAATTATTTTATAATAATAAATTTTGTTGGATAGAAAAAAAACAGTTAATTTTATTAAGAAAAATATATCCAAAATTACAATAAGAGCTTACAATTAGAATCATAAATTAAACAAATAATTACGATATATTTAAGACAAAAAATGTAACACCCTCAGACCAATATGAGTGATTTGATCCGATCTAAGGTGTCACATTAGGGCCACTGGAGCGACCCACAGTAAAAATCTAGGAAAATTTAAATTTTTTTTGTTAAAACATGTAAAATCATAAAAGAATTTATAAATAAAATACAACTACTAAAAATCATTCATATATTACAAATAAAATTAAAATTATACAAGTTACAAACTCAGTATAAAAATCAAATGTGACCTACATGCCCCTAATTACGCTTATACCGTACTCTGCAAGGTAAGCTAAATGAACTCCCATTACTGAAGTCGATAGCTGCACTAGATCAATTCTTTTAACCTAAAATGGTAGTAAAAGAGTGAGATTTGGGGAGCTCGGTAATACAGAACTACCAGGTGATGCTGAAGGACATGCAGATAAATGACAAACAGATAAATGACAAGCATAAAAATTTTCTCATTGATTCAAGCATCTACAGGTTTTCGTGATGAGCTAAGGTTCCACTGATATTTCTTTAGGTAACAGACAAGTAGCTTATAGCTTAGAGGAAATATTCAGAAGACTAGGTTCAAAGATTGAAACAGACGTGTAACATCCTAAAATTCGGGTTAGTGACTAAAATGAGAATTTTTGGAATTTGAGGATCAATATAAGGAAATTGATAAGTTTAAGAATTTAAATAGGACTATTTCAGTATTGGATTAAATTATAATTATGGAATAAGTAAAGGGCATTATGGTAATTAGCTTAAAAAGATATTTTCTTTCCCTTATTAAGAGTAGACACGTGGGATGTGAAGAGTTATCTAGAACTCTTCTTTTCCTTCTTCATTTCTTCTTCCCGTGGGTTCAAGCTCAAACCTCAAAGGTGAGTTTTAATTTTTATGATTAATTCTTGAATGTTTAAGTTGGGTTATATTCCTTGAGTGTTATATAAGCTTAAGGAAAGCTTATATAAGCTTAAAACACCAAAAGGAGAGAATTAGAAAGGAAATTTGATTAAGGGTTGAGAAATGAACTTTTGTTATGGAAAGGTTTTTGAAGTTCTAAAGATAGATTTGACTTGTCAAGGGGTTAATTAAGAAGTTAGAGGTGATAGAATTGAATTTAGAACATATGGAAAATTTGATGAAATTCTTTGATTCAAGAATTCTGGTGTATTATGATAGATGGTGAAGTGTTATAGTGTTATAAGAAGGTTTAAATATGTATAGATAAGTTTTAAGGTATAATGAGGGATTAATAAGTAGTATTTGGGGTTAAAGTAAGGATTTTCGTGCTTAAAATAACATTTCTGGGTTGTGTGCATCGATGCATATTCAATGTGTATCGATGCACTCTCAATTAAAGGAACATCGAATGTAATTAATGCATCGATGCATAAGGAGTGCATCGATGCACCCCCTTAATATTAAAACATCGAATGTAAATTGTGTATCGATGCATGGTAGTGCATCTATGCACATGTTAAAGAATGCATCGATGCACTGAAGAATGCACCGATGCATTTCAATGGGAAATGAAATAAATCGTTATTCAGTCTATGAAATGATAGATTAAAGTATATTAATTGGATACTGATAGTATCAAAACATGATTATGTAGACATCGATTGAAAGTAAAGTTTGGATAGGTCGACAGAGTAAGATAAGCAAGGAAAATCAAGAGCTTATGAGTGTTCATTGAGACCATGTGAGTACATGATATTAAGTGTACATGATGTTTAGGGAATTAAGACTTGCGATGAGTCTAATTCTGATAATAGATGACATGAGTACAAGAATATAAGTATAGTATGATATGATGTTTAAGAGTACCTGAGCATGATCCTGTAGTAATATGGTGCTAGAAATATATGAGTAAATGCATAAGTTTAATTGTTGAATGCATCTTTATATGTGAACCTTATGAATGCATGTATGTGTGATAATAGTTTATATGATCATAAGAGATAAAATATATGTGAAAGTGATTTGACTCATATATGTTTCTATGAGAATGTTACACGATATGCTATGTATGTTATATGAGCTATGTGAAAAAGAATACAAGTAAAAGTGGAAAGTTATGTGATACGTGAATGTGAATTACATGGAAATATGCTACGTGACATTAAGCTAGGTGCCTATGTGAAGATGTGAAATGATATAACAGATATTGCCCATGTCATATGTTATGAGAGGTCTAGGTATAGTTGGCATGCCAAGATTCGAGGGTTCTACGTGGTCCTTCGGGACATATGTGTTCTATGTAGTCCTTCGGGACATAGTGGTTTCTCGGGACAAATTCTACGCGCCCCTAGTGGGATTTATACGAGCTGTGTGACAACATTGTGCACAACCTCTATGTACTCACATACCTTAAGTTCTCAAAAGAGTGCATGGGCTTCAAAAAAATAATAAAATGTGTTATGATAATATGTATTCATTGTGAAATGATATTGGGGCTATATGACATGTATGAATGATAAGCTCAGAATTATATGATAATAGAAAAGAAAAGAATGATAATGAGTGCATCTGGGTTTTGTGATAAGAGAATATATGTGATTATGTATGATATGTCATTAGTAATTATTCATGTATTATTGTGTTTTGGAGTTATATTATACGTTCATGTCAAATCTATGCTCATATGATAGAATATAAATAATGACAAGGAAATAAGTATAATAAACATGTTAATGATTGGTTCAATAGGTGTGTAATTATGATTTGTATTATATGATATCTGAATACATGTATTAGTTTAGATTGTGCATTTACTTGTCTCACTAAGTCTATGACTTAGCGTGTAAGTGTCTTACGCGTAGGTTTTGGTAAGCAAGAGGATCAAGATTAGCCCCAGCAGAACAACATATCATTGCTTGAAGATGAGATCATAAATATCTTGTAAAGTATATTCTATTATGTAAATTAGTATGTTGGCATGTAAACAAAGTCATTAAATATGTACGCTCTGATCGAATCTGTTAAAGTTTTAACATGTTTATGTAAAAGAATTTATTTATAGATTAGAAGTTTTAAATTTTCTATGGTTTTTATAAAAATATGTGCTTTAACTAGTGAATGTGACACCTCGGATTTGTATCTAGGTCGGTTACGGGTTGGGGGTGTTACATTTAATAGTATCAGAGCTAAGGTTTAGCCGATTCTAGGCTTAAACCGAAATCAAGAGTATTTTGAAAAGGTGTATATGCCAACAAAAAGTGAAAGTTTCTGATCTGATAGAGTTATGAGTATGATGTCTTCTAATAGAGTTATATTGTTATGTAT